TGTATATATATATATATATATATATATATATATATACATATATATATACAACAGAAATTAATTAATAAGACGTCTTTACTTCCAAATAATTTTAAATCAACTTAACATGTTTTTGTTCTGTTTCTATCTTGTAATTAAACAAAGAGGTTTAAACGAAGGTTTTAGGTGAAATCCATCCATGAAAAAATAATGACAACATTCCAGAAAAAAAAACAAAAAACTCTCTCATTTCAACTTTTATTTTGTTTTCCTTTTTTCAAACAACGTAACATTTAGAATGTTATAACAGTGAATATAATAAAGAACTGTCCAAGTCGAACTGTCGTCCTTATTATTAGAAATGACTAGATAACAGCCGGTGTAGGCCAAACGAACACGTTTTTGTCAAAGTGATTTATCTTATTTTCCCCCAAAACTTGACTTTGTAACTAGCAATAAGTATTCTTATTTCTTGCTTTAAGTTACATCTTAGCAAAGGACAAACGTTCATTAAATGCTTAATCTTACAGATCATCACCATTAAATATGGAGTAAAAATGTTTGTGGGAAGAAAACTGTTTTTGATCGCTAAAAATAACAATCGGAAACCTAAAATTCCCAAACACTTTGCTAAAAAATGAGGAACTAATTCAGGGTTGAGTAAATTAGTTATATAGTTATATTAAAACGGCAAGTCACGTGACAATCACAACCTGTATATTGCTTTTTGATAAGGTATGTAACAGTTTTTCCGATACAAAATACTCATATACTTGGATTATAAAGGCGGTTTCACAACTGGGATACAGAATTTACAAGATGGATATATCCCTTGTACTTAATTGCACTGGAAAACAAAATAATATGAATCAACTTGGGGCACCAAGACTATCCTGAAGGAGATTTGCAATAAAATATACCCCAATCTTAGAAAGCAAAGACTGGTAATTTGTGAGAACCCAAAAACACAAAGGTCAGTGCAATAAACATGCACGTGTTCCAGGCAACACTACGTAACAAATTCAAGAACGATGTCTGTCTGTAAAAGCAATACAAGTTGCTTCCACTACATATCTTTAAACATTCGCATACCTCAAGTAGATGGAGAATGAAACGAGTGTTCATGCTATTCCATACGATGAAATACAGGTCAAGATGCCAGATCAGTGGTTATGGATTTTTGAGATGTGGTCGTACTATTGACACGGGTGCTGGGAAACCATTCTTCTTGTTCACTACATAATATATAGAAAGCATGCAGAGAGGAGGAGTGAGCTTTAAATGTTACAGCCTTATCCTTGCAATGGAAACTACGCTATATGGCTATTGTCAAGATGCAGAATCGACGAACAGAGCATCACCGGATGTGGCAACATGGAATGTAACGACGTGGTGAGACTCCAAAATCGTTTAAGTATAACGCAATCAATCTCTGTGGTAATCTTAACTTTATAGAGTCACAATTAAACTAGCTATACAGACTTTCACAGAACAACTTATAATATACGAGATCAAATAATTGATATGCCGAAAAATACAATTATGCCCAAAAAAACTGGTTTCACTTTTTTGTTTTTTTTTATATTTGATATTTTATTTCACTTTTCTTCATTTGTATTTTGAAATAAAGTTTCATATTTTGACTCTATCATTTTTGAATTAATTTCTTATTCCTAATAAAAGTAATGTAGATGAAGATACGAAAAGATAGAAAATTACCTAATTTGTATCTCATACTGTACGAAAACAAAACTGACTTAAAAACAAGATCTTTTATGTTAGCAAAAACTATATATTTCTGTAAGCCATTGGAAAATCCAACCGAGTCTGTTCAATGTGAGACATTTATACTGAAGAAAGACAAATCCAGCCTTTATTAGCATAGTTTCAAAAGCATTTTTTAAAAAATGTATCGTTTTTAGGGTCAGTCACTGGAAATAATTGAAACACGTAAATATCCCCGTATTTTGGTCATATAAATAATTTTTCGCTTTTCGATTAATTTTTTATAATGAAAATAAAATAGCAAAATATTATTAGACAGATTTTAGTTAGTGGCTTTTCTGAACAATACTGAGAGTAAGTGATGCATAAATCAGTTTAAATTTGGGGAAATATCATCCTCTGTCCGTATACTAACTCACATTTCTAGGCTTGCCTTTACTCAAAAACCTGCTGATTGGTATGAAAATTTAATAAAAGTATAATAGAAAAAAAATAAAGGCTGTGCTAGTTTTTCGAACTACTAAAAAGAGTTTAAAACTAAATAAAATATTATAGTAATTTTAGTCCACGGTTGTAAAGTAAAGTTTCTTATGGAATTATTGGCGTATTACATTATCAATGACACTGGGAGCGAGAGTAAGAATCCCAGTGACGTCAAGAAATAGATGTGGGTTTCATTGTAACATGGCGGAAGGGTGGAGGAAGTTTTTGTTCTAGTGTTACTGTTTATTTTCAACAATTAATTCGATTTTTTGTATATTGGTGAGAGTTTCTATTATATATTTTTACAGTAAAGTTTTTAGGTTTTAAAAACTTGCAACTATTTATTAAGAATCATGTAGAGGGAATATAAAAGTTACGGTTTTGTAATACTAATTACTAATACTAGTAGTTAGTACCATTATTATTATTACTAGTATCACTATCAACAACGTTTTAACGTACACTACTAGAAGAATATAGAAATTAAATTTATTGTTCACTAAACAATATATATATATACTACTATCAGCCAAATATATTTAAGTAACAATAACATGATAAGTAGTTATACTTTTATAGTACAAATTATTGACTTAATTATTCATATTAACGATACTTAAGACATATGTACGAACTTCATTCTATTAATTTACAAAGTAATTAACAGAACAAAAGGACCAAACCTATGATCCGTTAGAAAAAGAACGTTACAGCTTAAACTGTTAACTAATTAACTAATAGTATTACCGATAATAGCAGTAATAATTAATTAGTTTAACTTGAAGTTAGACCAAAACAAGACAAACTTTTTTTATCACTTAAAACTTAAAGTATCAGGTTTTTAAGAATACATCTTCATACATTGTGGTATCATGTTTTATGATAAGTTATGTTTGTTTAATTTGCTAAGTTTATAATTTACTGAAGCTATGGCTGTGTACTGATTTTTATTTAGAATAACAATATAATTGTGAGGTCTTACATGTATCTTTTGACATGTATTTGTAAACATAATAGCTTGAAAGTTACTATAGTATATGGTATGATTAAGCTACAAGTTTGGGGAAGAGGCTCTTTTTCAAATGGGTAAAATGTTAGAATGAAATTGGGAAATATTATTGTACAATTAGTTATCCAAAGTACAAAAAAAAAGGTTCTGTGAAATATTATTGTATGTATAAAACATTGTGCTGTGAAAGAATCCCTTAAAATAGAGGATTAATGTACACATATTGAGTTATTTTTGTTACTGGTTGACATATTTCAAAAGTCTGCCTAGAAGATACTGGAGAGTTAACTTAAGTGCCAGAAAAGTCAAAACATACACATATGAGAAGTATATTTATCATGTATACAGAAAGTGCATGATCATTTATAAATTGAATGCATTTTTATACTTGATATAATTTATCTAGCTGTGTTTTGTTATCAATATTATTAAAATTTTCTTATAAGAACTTCTGAAAGATTGTTTTTCATTAGTAGCTGTGTAAATGTATTTAAAACTAACCCATATCTCCTAAGTTGAAGCTCATGAGATACTGAGTTTTATGGCCGAACCTAAAATATTGTTAACAGCATGCTTGCCAACCTGATGAAAGAATGCATGCTAATAATTATATTTAAGGAAGAAAAAGTATATTTAATTAGCTATACTTTTTACAGAGTTGATATTGTTAGTTTTGATGTAAGTGAGTAACTTTCTCATAAGTTTGTATTAAATCCTATTCACAAAACACAACTTGGCTAGTTAGGTTGTATTAAATGCTCTGCACAAAACACACTTGGCTAGTTAGGTTGTATTAAATCCTATGCACAAAACACAACTTGGCTAGTTAAGTTGTATTAAATCCTATGCACAAAACACAACTTGGCTAATTAGGTTGTATTAAATCCTATTCACAAAACACACTTGGCTAGTTAGGTTGTATTAAATCCTATTCACAAAACACAACTTGGCTAATTAGGTTGTATTAAATCCTATACACAAAACACAACTTGGCTAGTTAGGTTGTATTAAATCCTATACACAAAACACAACTTGGCTAGTTAGGTAACTTGGTAGTGTATATTTTGAAACACATGTCTGATAAAACATCTGGAGCTACTAAAGAACAGAGGAGGGTTAAAATCAATGTTGTTGTTTTTTTGTTTTTTAAATACTGCAATGACTAGGGTTGAAAACAAATGTTATTAGGCTTAGATGTAAATCACCAAGTAGGTTATCTCACACGATAGTTGTACTTACAAAACATCACTGTTAACTAGATTTAAATTTTGTTTTTGATTTTTCTTCTTTCTATCCAGTGAAACAAACAAGTCATAAATGTCACAGCATGCATTACTGAGAGATTTGGTTCCATTATGGTTACTATGTGTCACTTTCTTATGGCTGGTATGTTTTTAAATAAACTCAAATGTTCCCAGACTAAAATAGATGAATATGCATGTATTGATATTTACATGTATAAAATGAACTTTTAACAATTTTATGAGTAACAAAAATAACATCCCTAATGGAGTATTGTGCCAAGTATTGTTATATAGTGTTATGTAATTTTTTTTATTTAGATTTATGTTAGAATGAATAAATTGTTTTGTCAATAAGGAAACTCTTGGTCTTGATTTTAGCTTTCCGAACGTGATGGATTATTCCCATTCCTCGTCTCTATTCTCTCCCATGGAAGCTAACAATGAATTGGTTCCCTTAAATGACCTGGCACACCAGACACAAGGTCCTGTCTTAATGGCCAGTAGAAGCTCGGCAAATTCTCTCTTGGCATCATGGGGATCTGATGAGTCAACTTCAAGTAGCTCAGGACATGACTATTCTCATTCCATTTTCCCCTTTCGAGGTCCAAAAGCAAGGGACTGTAGTGGTGCTACACATTTGTTGCCTTCTGAAGGAGTAAAACAGGAGCTAGCTGAAGAGCCATTAGTTAGTGTTGACTCTAATGTGGATGGTGATTGGTGCGATACTGCAGCTTTACTGGCAGAATCAGAAAATTTTGAAACTTTCGATAGCCGACAGCGAAAGAGAGTACTCAGTGAAGGGGAGAACGAAGATAATAAGGGAAGGCCACGAAAAGCTCAACAACCACCGGTAAATTCACTCGAAAGTAGGAATAATTCTGCTGCTCATAAAATTAATAACTGTAATTATGATGGAGCTAGTGGTACCTCTGGTTATTCTGAAGTTGGAGTCCAGAGTTCAAGTATGTGCTCAGTACAAGATATAGAAGACTTTGAAAGAAACACATCTAATTCTAATGTTGAAAACCACCCAGTATCTGAAACTCCCGAAGTAATAATGGACACGTCCTCTGAGAGTGATAGTGATATTGATATAGTAAGTCTTCGCACCTCTGTTTTAAGGAATACAAGATCTTCAAACTGTAGTGTTAAAACATCAGGAGCTCAGTATCATGACCACAGTTACACTGGTGCAAGAGACAGACTTCACTCATTGAATGCATCTTTCTGGAATGGTAACTCGGGTAAGTTAATTTCTGTACATGAGTTTACTTGTGACATTGTTTATTTTTACATGTTTGTAATTCAACAGATTCTATAGGTTAATTTTTTTTTCAAGCAGTGGTTTTTCAGGTAAAACGTAGTATTTTTTCTTATATTCTTTATGAAATTTGTAAAAGTGTTTAGTTAAACCAAATACATCTCTAAACCTTAAATATGTTTTTAAAAAGTTCCTCACTAGGATAGAAATTAACTTATTAAATTTCAGCATGGGCTCTGTCCCTGGGATCAACCTCCTAACCATTTTGTGCTTATTATAGTTTTCATGCTATAACTTTTAAATTAATAAGCGTATGTTAACAACTTTGGCAGATTATCAATA